GTTGGTAGACTTCACACTAAAAGTGGTTAGGATTTTTATTGAATAATGAGGAAAACAACCTTTTAAGGTACAAAAAATTTGGATGACCTCACTGACAGTGCCACAACATGATAGTATTATCTTTATTATTACTGAAGGATGAAGTCACACAAGAGGTATTCTGATATTATATTTCAGAATCATTAGCTCTTAGGATATAAAGTCCTGCAAACATCTTAGCATTGCCAATCATCTTCCCCGAGTCCAAATCTTGAAATTCACACATATTTGGAAGAAATTTAATAATACACTTAAGGTCTCTTGTAAGTTTGCTTATAGACAGTAGATTGCAACTTAGATTTGGGACAAGCAAAATAGAATCAAGTGTTATCTCTTTGGAAATAATAACAAAACTTGTACCGGCTACTTTTAAAACTAACCCATCAGCAATTCGAACTGTGAAGTTTTCATGACATGGGTTGTATTTACTAAATACAGATGCATCCTTAGTCATATGGTCTAAAGCTCCTGAATCTACAATTCATGAATTTGATTTTTCTAGTTTTACAATCAAGGCACTTAGAAAATTACCTTTTTGTGCTAAAAAACCTATTTGAATAAGTGTGGTAATGTTCTGTAGTGATTGCGAAATGCTAGCTCTAGGGTTAGAGGTAACCTCTGACGTCAGGCTCCCCCTTTTGCTTGCCATTCTAAACTCTAAGTGAAAATTTTCAAAGGTTCAAATCATGTTTTAATACCATGAAGAAATCTCTAGAATAAAACTATTTTATTCTTCTATATTTTTCTTATTACAATGCTAGAATTGCATGAAAATATATAGGCTAAAGATTGAATATTCTCAGCCTTAAAACCCAAGATTTTCATGCATTAAAAATAGCTAATCAAAGGAGTAATTTACTCTTTACACATAATAGGAAAATATCTAATGGATTTGGCGTAATTACCCAAATCACTCCTTATTCTAAAAATAAGAGACTTAACTAAAACAGACAAAGTCAATTAATCAAGCAATAATGAAGATAAGATTTCCACAAACTTCAAACCCATGAAATCTTGAACCTAGTGCAGTTTTGAAAAACCAACTTCCATAAGCTCTTGTGAAGTAACTAAAACAATATTCAAGGAGAGTACAACCCTCGCAAGTACCAAAACAGATCCATGAGCCTAACTTGACCACAGGTAATGAAGGCACTTTAAATATACCTAGTCTTGAAGCTAACGATTCTGTTTCATGTGATCATCAACCTATACTAGAGAGTGACCTTAACCTGCCCATAGTCTTGAAAAAAGGGATACGAAAGTGCACCAAACACCCCATATCCATCTTTATTTCCTTGCATCGCCTCTCCACACAACCTTTGAAAAGAATAAACCTTGGGATATTGTCACACATCCCAAATGCGAGAAAGCAATTGGTTGCAAGTGGGTCTATACTATGATGCTTAAAGCAGATGGAACTCTTAAGAGGTATAAATCAAGGTTAGTTGCAAAAGGCTATACACATACCTATGGGTTAGACTACCAAGAGACCTTCACTCCAATAGCAAAGATGAATACAATAAGAATTCTCTTATCCTTGGCTGTTTATTTTGAATGCGAATCCAACAATTTGATGTGAAAATGCATTTCTCCATGGAGATTTGGAAGAAATGTACATGGAACCCCCACCAGGATTTGATGAAGAATTTGGTCCTAACAAAGTTTGTAAGTTAAAAAGGTCTTGTATTGGTTAAAACAATCATCAAGGGCATGGTTTGGAAGGTTTACTAGAGCAATGGTGAGATTTGGCTATAGACAAGGTAAAGGTGATCATACTTTATTTATCAAACACTTGCAGAACGAAAAAATTATTGTGTTACTAGTGTACCTGATGACATCATTGTTACCAGGAATGATGAAAAACAGAAGAGATTGAAAGCTCAATTAGCTCATGAGTTTGAAATTAAATAGTCGGGCAAACTAAAAATACTTTCTTGGGATTGAAGTGGCATACTCCAAAAAAGGAATATATTTTCCCAACGAAAGTATGTACTAGACTTGCTTAAAGAAACAAGCACTCTAGGAAGTAAAGCTTTAAGGATTCCTATTGACCCAAATCATAGGCCAGGCTGAGATGACAAAAGGGAAGCAGTTGATAAAGGGCACTACCAAAGGTTGGTTGGGAGACTAATCCATCTTTCACATACTAGGCTTTACATAGCCTATGCAGTGAGTGTAGTTAGTCAATATTTGCATGACCCAAACGGAGGAACATCTACAAGTGGTTCACAGAATTCTACAATATTTTGAAGGGTCCTCTTGGAAAGAGAATTTTGTTTAAGAGAGGAAATGTGCTGCAAGTAAAGGCATACACTGATGCAGATTATGCAAGATCTCTAACAGATAGGAGATTTACGTTTGGCTACTATACTTTTATAGTTGGAAATCTAGTTACTAGGAAGAGTAAAAAGCAAAGTGTTGTGGCAAGATCAAGTGTTAAAGAAGAATTTCGAGCCATGGCATATGGAATTTGCGAGCTTTTATGGCTTAGGATTATTCTAAAAGACCTAAGAGTAGAAGTAGATGGACCAATGAGATTGTATTGTGACAACAAGTCAACTATTAGCATAGATCATAACCCAGTTCAACACAATCATACCAAGCACATTGAGGTTGATAGACACTTTATCAAAGAAAAGCTAGATAGTGGACTCATCATAACTCTTTATGTTTTCCATCAGGAAATCAACTAGCAGATGTTCTGACTAAAGGATTATCTAACTCGAAATTTCAAGAGATCACAATCAAGCTAAGGGTGGAAGTTATTTACTCACCAGCTTGAGGGGAAGTGTTAAGATTCTTGAAATTATGCCTAAGTTTCCTATTCTAAATAGATAGAAATTAGGGAACTGTTACTTTGACCTAATCTGATTCTGATTTGATTGTGTTATTGTATTTCCTTGTTCAGGTAGATATTTAGGTAGATATTTTCCTGTAATTATAGCTCTTTCCATATTTAGAACACTCATTTCTATATAATGAACAATTCTCTTGTTAATGATAAAGGAAAGTATTTACACAGAATTTTACATACGCTATTGGCTGAATACACTAGAGGCATTGTGCATTTCAGAATTGCAAACTTGACAGTCATAAGGGTTTGACTGACTTCTCCTTTTCACCAAAAGAAAATTGTTTTCTTCCTCCTTGTTACCTTTAGGCTTTTGGCCAAGATAAGGATTGGTTTCTAGTTGATTTGTGAAATCATACACTTGCTAGCTGAGATTAGAATCCCTCCTTAATAAAGTTTCGGCAAGAGTTGCTGCGTGATCACCATTTAAGGCTAAACACTTGGGTGGCTTAAGTCTTGACATTTTTCGGTTTTCAGACAAAACCAATGGTTGTTTCACTCAAGATTACGGGATCTTTGAATGCTGGTATGATTCTAATCATATGAGCGCTTATTAAAGTTTTAAATTACAAGCATAAGCAAAAGTACAAGCATAAGCAAAAGTATAATCCATGGGATATTTGGCTATTGTTTTGTTTTACTTGTTCCGTTACATTCTTTGATACAAATGATGTATGCTCTTGTTAATTGTTAACTGTATGATGTTGAATGATACCAACACATATGCATGTGAACGCACATGCCTACTGATAGAAATACATGCATATATGCATACAAATGCACTTTTACATCTTTGATAAAGTAGCTCTTCAACTCCTTACTCTTCAAATGGTTTCAACCAAAAGTCTATATAACAACCATGAATAAGTGCAATAGAGGCACAAAACATATGCTTAAATTTTCAACTTCCCTTATCACCCAAGAGTTTGTGAAGACCAAATAGAGTACTTTTAAAACCGACTAAAAATCAACCCTAATTCAAAATAGTAAAATATCAATTTAAGCATGCGGCAAGAATCCCTTAGCTAAAATACAAAACAAAAAGATAGAGCAAATACCATAATCATTATCAAGTCCACACATAAAAAAATAGAATGTTTATCATTGCACTTGAAAATGCTTATACCTGGCTCATTATATCTCTTGGGAGAAAACTTTCTGATACTAATTTTTTCCAAACTTTGACATAAGTTCAACATGGTCAAAATGTAACTAAAACTCAGTACCAAAAAATGTAATCTAATACTAAATGTCCCTTTAATGGTAAATCCACTCAATTACTACTATTTACATGCTTTTTGTATGTAAAAAGCTCATCTGTTTTATACTACTTTGAAAATTATAAGCTAAGGCTCGATTACTACTATTTACATGCTTTTTGTTTTTGTATGTAAAAAGCATGTCTGTTTTATACTACTTTGAAAATTATAAGCTAAGGTTTCATTGAAATAATTTGTATGATAGGTAGTCATATAATCAAGACTATTTGTCTAGGTAGTCATATAATCAACACTATTTGTCTAACTTCATCCCAAATCTATATATGTATATACCACTTGAAAAGTGGGTCCAGAGTACAGAACGCTCCTAGCTGTAAATGGAATTTCAACCAGTTTCCTTTTTACCTTGTCCGTGAGTTGCTGACTTGTTAAAGAAAAGAGAGAAAATAATGAAACCAGCACTAAAAATAGAATAACCAAGCCTAGGAAGTAAATGTGACAGAGAGCTTCAACCCTCCAATTATTGAGGATAGAAATTGCACAATCCTGTATGTTCCATGTTAAAGCCCTCTGGATTTACCAAAAGCTTGTTCAAAGGGTGAAGTTTTCAAACATGATATAGATAACACAGCAGGCCATATTTATCATCAAATCCAAGAAACTCCTTTTGCATACTAAGAAAACGTGATGTCAGTAAGGTGAACTCAATGCAAATGATCAAATTATCCCATCGAGAGCATAATGCAACTGTAAAAAGTAAAGAATATCGAAGAAAAATCTCATAAAAAATGTGAAACTAGGAATGTAAAGTGAGAGGGATATGTAGTCTAATTGCTTGACATCAATCCAAATGAATTCAGAAAAAGATGCAGATCTGTAGCAGGACAAACCTTGGAGGAAAACATGGAGCTACATAGTCATAAATATCTCCAAGCTCTTCTCCAATCTATTTGTCAAAAAGAAAATCAAATGTATCAAATATCAAGGAAATGTTATTGTCTCGATAAAGAAATGGTCAGAACTCAGAAATGCACTAACAAACATTACAATGTGAAAAATAATACCAAGTAAACTTGAGATCCCATGTAATATATATATATATATATATATATATATATATATTAGATAAGGAATGAACTACCATGATAGGTTGCAGAAGTAAAAGTTGAAAGAGCAGTAAAAGATGGAGTGGCATGAGCTTTTCACAAAGAATATTGCTAAATGCATCGTCAACATATTAATACCATATTACCCCATAACAAGAAACTTTTAGACTATCAACTTAAATGACATGCATGGGAAGATGACTAGATAAATGTGTTTCTAGAGTTTCAAAATGGCAATTCGGCCAAAAATTGCAATTATATTATGTAAACCTAGAATCTAAATTAAAAAAAAAAATGAACATGCAAGTTTCTTAAAAAAAATATGATAAGCTCATGTTTGACAATTGTAAAAGTGCCCCATATATCATAGGCTTTCACTGATTTTATCGTTCTAAAAGAAGTATTAATTCCCCATTGCAATTGTTTAAATCATTATATCATCTCAAATTTTTGGCATTATATTGAATGATTTGCATTCTGTCATTCATGTGTTTTATATTATGTGCATTGGGGTTGGGTAATGTAAAACTTTGTTCATGTCTTCTAACAATTGCCTTTCAGCTATATTGAAGCACAGTTTTGAATTCCAGGTCAAACCCATAATAAAATTCTTCTTCATTTATTTTTCTAACAATGTTTTAGCTGTATGACTGAGTTGAAGTGTTTAAATAATTTCTATGCAGAAGAGAAAACTACAAGAAACGGTTAAGGAAACTCTGTATTAAATTACATAAATGTGTCATTTTGAAGTCACTTGAGTAAGAATCAGACACAAAGTTCTAAAGAAATATAGAGATCAGTTTAGCATACCATTCGAGCTTCCTCCAAAGCTGCTTTTAGGTCCTCAAAGACAAGCTGGTGTAACAAATACCATCAGTAATCATATGAAACTAAACAAGGATTCATAATATACAAACCATTCTCATGTGCCAGGTTGATTATTTAGAAAAGTACCTCTGTCAAAAGCTTGTTGAACCGCCCTTCAACTGTTTTCCTTACTTGCTCATAGCATTTATCCTTATAGTCTTTCCCCTGAACCTTCAACTTTTGCTGTGCTAAACTTATAGAAGAAGCTGAAGACGTGGTAGATTTTCTGCAATGTCATAAAGGATAAAATTAACATATAATTATTAATTGATCATTCAATATGCATTAAGGATAGTTAGCAAACTAAATAGGAGGCACTAAGCAATCAAACCAGATACATACTTGCCAGTTCTATGAGGATTTGCAATAGATGCCATTGCACCACCACCCTCAGCCTCAGCTGCCTCCTCAGCAAGTTGTTGATCAAGAATTTCTTGCATTTCAACAACTCTAGAAGGGAAGTCAAAGAAACTTATTTGAGAGAAGAGGTCACAAATTAAATATAGCTACTTTTTATCACATCAGCCCAACCACAGAAAACCAAGTAGTATTACCAGTCATTTTAAAGAAAAAGTACAAGCAGAAACCTGTATATCTCAATATATAAAAATGCACAAATTTTCAAACTTATCATAGGACCTTGAAAATACAGGGGCTGCAAAATAGAAATGATTTCAAAAGCTTGTCAACAGCATACCTCAAAGCACGAACCAAGGTTTGTGGACTGCAAAAATAGGTATAAATTGTACAAGTAAGAATCTAAAAAAAAAACAAAAACAACTGGTAACCTATTTAAGGTTAAATATGCCAACAAATGTAAAGGCAAATCTAAGAAAAAATAGCACAGGCAATAATTATTTCGAAGCAATTAATCCAGATGGAGGAATAAATTTCTATTCTGATTTCCAATGGAAAAAAAAAATTGTGATAAAATTAGATATATCAGAAAAAAGTAAAGAAATTCACTATTTTCTCCTTTCAAATCTGTTGTTATACAACTAAAACAACTCCATCCAGTCATAAGGCTACTTCCCTCATGCCTGTTTTTCTTAAGCTGTAAGTCTAAATCAATTATCCAAACCCAAACCACCAATGTACAACGATGATGTAACAATAGCTTAGTAGATTCCAGTGAAATGTAAGAAGACACTAGAATATGCATAAAATAATGGATGGTCCTGTAATTTTGGAATTCCAAGGTTGCTTTTCTAAGGCCAAAAGCGTGATATCAAAAGAAGGGGCATCATTTGCAAGACACCTTTCACCTGCTAGCAACTTATTTAGGTTGGAAAAGTGAACCTAAGAAACTTTTAGAGGGCAGTAGTCCCTTCTTTCAAACTGAATACAGAACCTTCAACACCATTTCCCCCGTCATTCATATTGCTTGAGTCTTAGCTGCTAGTTGATGAGCCTCACACCTTAGCACCTGGGTTACTACCCACTATTTCTTTATTTCCCCCACTTTGTCCAATCATTTGCTTTTTTATAAAAAATCAAGAAGTGCTAGAAAATTAATACTTTCATTCCTCCATTAATTACCTTCAAATGCTTTGTTGAATGGCTAATATTCAAATCCAAAACTAAGCATCTTTAACTATTACGTGCCACAAATAATACCATTAGGTGGTGTTATCAGCTAATTGATGTATGTTGTGATTTCAAATTCAGGTTAGAACTCTCAATCATTTGTCAATTGATTTTTAGTTAGATGCTTAACATCGTAGTAGAGCCCATATTTATTTATTATGTTACTAAATTTTTGAAACCACATATGTGTTGTTCTTGTGGTAGACCAATTTGTTTCAATTGAAATACCAAGCCTACACATAAATGGAAGTTTTTAAATGGTGTTATACCACAAGATTTAGTTTGTATTTCCTAGGGCCTTATATTCAATCTACATCTCTTTACCTCAAAATTGATTTTAGGTTGAATGCTTAACAATCACAAATTAAGAATGAAGCTTTTCAATCAAATTTAATACTCAGAACTTATTCTGAAACAAATCTTTATCATGCAGGATACTTATTGAAAGGTTTTAGGGGATTTTGTATGGTTGAGTGAAACACAGACTAGAAAAATGATTTACAGATGTAGAGGGTATAGGCAAAGGCTCAAAATAGAAAACAAAAGAAGAAATACAAAAAAAGGAGGGGTACGTAGGAAAGGACTGAAAGAATATAAAGAATGCAAAGAGAGGAGAGCTCAGCAACCATATCCATTAGACAAGCTTTATAGCTAGAGTTCTCAACTTAGTTTTCCCTTCCTGTGGATAAGTAACTCTCAATTGAATATCTATCATCCCTAAAGCAGAAGATTACACATCCTTTCAGGCATATTCATTCATAGGTCACTGCTCACTTTGAAACTTATCCTAACTTCCATTAAAAAATTAAGGTAAACAACCTTAAAGTAACATTAGAAAGAATACTATTGTAAATCTACTGAACACCAAATAGAATGAGGAAAATGCTACTGTCATGATAAGATGCTGTTAAAATAGGGACAAGAATCAACAAAATTGCTAATTTAAAGCAATTTAAAAATGCTTTGAAAATAATGAACATAGCTTGAAGGCATACAAGAACCCATTACTAGGGAGATCTTAATGCAGTGTGATGGAAAAAAAAAATTATGATTTAGGGATAAAATTCAAAGGATTTAAACAAACTAGTTTCAAATTTCTTCAGATTCCTATGAGCATACCTTTCTTTTGAAAGTTTGTAGAAATTGGAAATATGACCCCATAATGTTTTCTCAAATGTCTCCCAAGTTCGATCAACATCTTCAAAATATTCTCTGCGACGCACATTCCATGATAAAATTCCAATAAAAAGAAGTCAAAAAATCTTAAAACTAAAATATGAAGCACAAGAAACATCACAAAGGTCAGATTAAAATTACAACCATTTGTAATAATCTATGATAATAGTCATCATATAAGACTTCCTATATTACATTGTTTAAGTCCATTCTTGCAACAAGTAACGATCAAGTTACATAATTTAAGCCCATTAAGAGCAAATATGAATTGAACAGCCTGCACTAGTTGTGCAGGAGAACCAGAGAAACTCTTGTTTGAAATGGCTCAAACCGAAAAGAAATGGATCCATTTCCGATGCACAACACCAAATATCCAAACTGGCTTGTGGGACGTTGCAACTGCCATCGCAGACAGTGGCATAGCCAAAAAAATTCAGTGAAGTCATAAATCGCATTACATCATTACAAACTCACGTTATGTAAACACTATAATTTTATACATTGTATTACTTAAAAAAACTTTTACATTAATTTCAAAAGTTTTACATCCACAAAAAAAAAAGTAGATTATCTTATTTTTCAATAAAAAGGTACTATAATAAGATATAATCTAATGTCTGTGATATAATAAACCACACATTTTACAAGTCCGAGATGGTTTTGTTTTTACCTTTTTATTTACCTTTTGCTTTTAAAAGCAAAAAGTAAAAAATGTGTTTAGATACAAGAGTAATATTTTTATATAAGTAAAGATTAAATATTAATCTTTGTAATAATATATAAAATGCATGATTCATTTTTGTATAAAACAATTACATTTGAAAATGTATCACATTTCACAATTAAATTTGTATCACAATAAAAAGCTACTATAATAAGATATAATCTCATGTCTGTGATATAATAATCCATGCATTTTACAAGTCAAGTCCAAGGTGGTTTTGTTTTTACCATTTTATTTACCTTTTGCTTTTAAAAGCAAAAAGTAAAAAATGTGTTTAGATACAAGATTAATATTTTTATACAAGTAAAGATTAAATATTAATCTTTGTAATAATATACAACATGCATGATCCATTTTTGTATAAAACAATTACGTTTGAATGTGCATCACATTTCACAATTTAATCAAATACATTAATTATTGTCTTACAAACATATTGTACCATGTATAGCCATATTCATAATATAAATATAAAAACTTTTCAAGATTTTTTCTTTTTCTAAAACTAGATACTACTCAATATCATTATAAAAATACACAAAAATCTATACCTACATATTAAAGTAAGCCCCTGGTTGGAATAGTAATTGAGGCCTAATTAGATGACAATATGATCCATTTAGGTCTTCAGTTCCCTTTTTTTTTTTTTTTGGTATTTGCTTGATTTAAAAAAAAAAAAGGAAAAATATGCAATTGTTTGTGTATTTTCTTTCTTATTATTATGTATATATTTCCATTTATTTAATTATTTAATCAATTTAGTACACAATAATTTAAAAATTAATGAAAATAAAGATTTAATTAATTAAAAATTAATAATAACTGACCGAAAAAGTTAAACTTAATAATAAAAAAAATGATTATTTAGAAAAAAAAACTCCTAAAATATATCAATTTACTGACCGTTATTAAATTAAATTGACTAGTAAAAGATATTTATTTAAAAAAAATCCTAAAGAAAAAATTTTTAAAATATTATAAATAATAATCTTCTATATTTTCATGCATGAATAAGGAAGTACTTATCATTCAACAAAAAAATAAAACAATTTATATTCATTTAAAATAAAAATGTGACCCAAGCATAGTTGGGCAATTTTTTCTAGTTTTTACTTATTTGACCTCCTCCATTCAAGTTTTTATTTAATTTCAATGAGGTTAATATAAGAAAATTACAAAAAAAAAAAAAAAAACCATTATTCCACACATATATATTAATTTTTCAAAAATTGAGAATTGAATGCACTAAAGTATATATCGCTAGCCACTGATTCAGAGATATGCTTGTTTCTTGAAACAAATTTTACCATGTCCTCACTCATTACAATTTTGTGAAACTATAATCAGCATAACATCTAAAAAGGTTAGGCATATAACAGATAGAAAATAATGTCTAAAATATATGAAAATATTTCCAATTTAATTTTCCAACAATGATATTGACATTGCTATAATTGCCATATATTTACACAACAGAAATTGAAGGAGATGCACACCTTAACCTGCCAACCTCTTCTTTATGAGATGCCACAGCAGCTAAAGCAAACCTCCGCTTCCCATCAAGCGCAGTTAACCTCTGAGAAATAGAGGATGAAAAGAGAAATATAGAGCATTGATACACAATTTCTCCAGCATTAAAATTCATGAACCTATGACTGACTGTGATTATTAAGAAAATGTTCTACCTCATATGTATTGACAATTTCTTTATCATCACTCAAAGAATCTCGGGCCTCAGCAGCTTCAACCGAAATGGACATCATACCCTCAACATCCTACAATTAATCAAGATATTAACAACACTGCCACAATATATCATTAAAAAGCACTAAAGCCACATAACCACAGGTTTGCACTTGACATAAGCGAGTTTCCATATAAAACCTGACAATAAACCTTATAAATAACTAACAGCTCCATCCAACAATATTACCATCCTTCTTTCCAAGAGTAAGTCCAAGCCTTAAAAGGCATTCCAGTTGCAGCCAACATTTAGAAAGGTTACAGCTCTTAAACGGTAAACAAAAATTTAGGCATGCTACAGAAAGGATGTATGCACTTCCACAGGTGTGTGCTCAAAGAGTAACTATAATTTATTACTGTTTGTCTTTGTTTAACACCATCAAGAGAAACAACACCAATCATGGTTTTTAATTAATAAGAAACCAGAAAACTCACCTTGAGTGTTGTATTTAAGTTGTTCCTGACATTGCTAAGAAGCTTTATCTGATCATGGTTTTCAATTAAGTTTTGGCATTCTTGACATAACCTGATAAACAAGGTAATTCAATTTATTTGAAATTTTTCTAGAAAAATCAAGAGAAAAAAAATTGATGGCATCTAAGAATGTAATAGTAACAAACATACTTCTCAATAGAAATGAAGTTTTCACGCAGCTGGTGTATTGTTTTCTGAGATAACCCAAGTGACTCGAGCCCGGCTTGGGCTTGCTCAACCTGCAGTCCATAGTGTTTTTCTCCATGTAAAAACAACTAAAATAAAAGTCGACGGGCTTCCTTAGCTCCCTACATTTAATCAAGTAATATTCCATTGTTGCTTTTGCTACTTGCTTTTTGCTTCCAAAGCAGAAGGATAAAAAGCGGTTGGATACAAAGCAAATAATATATTTAAATTTTTATTAAAAAAAAAAAGATTGGGGTTGCGTATTAGCTATTTGCTCATTTTTAATCAATAAAAAAAAAAAAAGCAAACAGCGAAAATCAAGTAGCCAAATCAATAATAACCAAACGAAACCTATGATCGTTACAAAAAATTTAAAGATGATTGTGGTAGGTACCTGCTCTGCAACCATTGTACTGAGTTGTGCGTCATTTGCCTGACCATTGAGATAGAAAACAAAATTGACCGATTTGATATTCAACGCAATGAAAACCTGAATTATTAAAAGATGAAAAAAAGGAAGAACGAGTGGGTTACCTGTTGACGAGTAATGTAATCGGCTTTGATGGTAGAAATGGATTGTAAGAGCTCGGGAAGAGGCAGTAGCTTCGCCACCTCACGTACCGCCGCTTCCTTGGCTTCCACGCCCAGATCCTCCACCATCATTTTTACCTGATTCAGAGCTTTTTCCTCTTGTTTACTTTTTCCAAAGCTGAAGCGAATATAGAAAATGGAAATTGTTTTCCGTGGAACGCCAATTTATTTCTTTATTTTAAGATTTGACTATTCATTCTGCCATAGATAGATCTGCCGCATACAAATGGACTTTACTTTTCGTTGTTTCATATCCTCTAACTGGCCCAGACCCAGACTCGGTCTCTTTTGGGTCGGGTTTTCAATAACATGGTTTTAACCAGCCCCACAGGAAAAAGGGTTAAATATAAAGAAAGTTTGATACTTTTACTCTCTGATTTTTTTTATTTTATTTTCACAAAATTTTAAAAAATATTTTATATTACAATTTTAATTTTTTACAAAATTGATGTTAAAAATACAAATAATTATAAAATATATTTTTCAAACATATAAAATAAAAAGCATTAAGTTTTTAAAACGAAAATAAATATATATAATTTTGGAACATCTAAAAATTAAATATGCAAAAAAAAAAAAAAGCTAGAATGAAAATAAATATTAAGAGGTGTTTGATTTTATGAATTTAACTTTTTCGTTATTTAATTTCTTGGTTTGATTCAAAAAATTTCCCACGAATTTCATGGTCACAATCCCAACAATATCACAAAAAAAATTAGAAAAATAAAAAATCTCTCATCTCCCTTAAAATTTTTTAGATTTTGAAGATAAAGTGATAATTTTTTCATTTACTCTCACTTAATTTTCTTTTAAGACCACATAAAAAATGTTATTTATTTTAGAAATGTAGTAATTTTATATTTCATTTTTTATAATGTTGATAAAAATAATGTTTTAAAATTAAAAATATATGGTGGAAAAATTTTATTTTCAAAATTGGATGGCATTTTTAAAATTTAATTTCAAAAAATGTCATATTTGTTAAAAATATAAAAAATTATTTTTCAAAATTCAATAAAATCGATGTTTTTAAGATAAAAATATAATTTATGTTGAAAATATGAAAATATTTTATTTTGCAAAATTTTTTAGTTTCAATGACGATATTTGTAAGATTAAAAACATAAATTTTGTTAAAAATATATTATAAAAAAATTTATTATTACATATAAAATTTATTGTTATATATATTATATTTACAATAAAACCTAAAATACTTCACTTTAATAATTCAAAAAAACTATTAAATGAACAATTTACATATTAAATAAATAAAAATTTAAATAAATTACTTGTTATTCACGTGCTATTTATATGTCAAATGTTATAAATATGATGTATTATTTAAGTATCATAAAAAATAATATAGTAAAAAATTTATTAGATAATATAGTAAAAAAATTTATTAAATAATCTTATATTTTTTTAACCAAAAACAAAAATTTTATATTTCTTAAAATTAATAGAAAACAAAACTCACAATTTTCTTTTAATATCACCTTTTTTCTAAATCACTTTTTTTCCTTATATTTAAAAATATAAAATCAAGTAACCGCTAAAATAATCTCTAATGATAATGGTAAAAAAAATTTCTAATCAAATGTAATAGAATTATTGAGAATTTACCATGTTATCTTTAGAGACATAATAACAAATACTAATAAAACCGCTGGCACATAAAATAGTAATTCATAATATATTTATGATGATTTTTTATATTATATATGTCAATTTTAAAAATAAATATGATAATACAATAAAAAATATAAAAAAATAAAAGTTACGTCATATAAAAATTTGACAAAATAATATATAAATTTAATAAAATCAGAAATATATGTTTCATATTTGATTTATTAATATGAATTAAGGTACAATAAATTTTATATTTTATATATATTTTTTATATGAAACAAATACTATACAAATATATATATTGCAAAATCTAATTATTTTCATTGTTTTTTATTTTCTAACACATATTATCATAGTATCTCACTGCTCATTTCAATCTGGTTACTTTTTCAGTCTCGCCACTGTAAATTATCAATCTCACCATTTTGCTCTTATGAATTTCAATACCATCAATCTTGCTATTTGCCTAACGGGACTTAAAAGAGAGAAGGGACAGCAGGTTTGGGACCATATATAAAGTTTATCTCTTGATATTATTCTGCTTTATTTTAAAAATTTGAAAAAAAAAAAAAAAAAAAAACACCTAAAATAAAAGAGCTAAAAATGATAACCAAGGAGCTTTAGTTTCATTCATACAATTAAGTAAAACTTGGCAAATGGAAATGCCAAAACACATAGATTTATTGTTGAAGTTGGGGTACATGAGTAGTGTAAATTACCAGAAGAAGAAATCTTGTGTTGAGACAAGAAAATTTATGTGCATTCTCAGTCTCTAAACCATCCAAGTAAAGCAAGAATAATGTTAAATATGTTGCCACTGACTAAGGCTTTCATTTGTTTCTGCTTTCCAGGTGTGTATGGCGGGTACCTAGTAGGAGCATCTCCCGCAAAACTTCTGTATAAAACTGCCTTCTTATGGCTAAAAGCATCAAAAGAGAATTCACCGTGGTATGAACCCATTCCGCTCTCCCCGACTCCTCCGAAAGGTAAACCGGAAACTGTTAGCTGCAAAGATTCGTCATGGATAAGGAATCAACTAATTAGTTAAAAGATACCGTCCATATGCACTGATAACATACAATTGCAATGTTTTTCATATGTGTCTGATGCGCTATGATGTTCGTTGACCAACAAAGAAGTGTAATGCAAGCAATTCAATTTTCATCTTCTAAAAAATTATAGCATTTTGCTTCGCCAAGTGTGTGTATATATGGCATTCTGCAAACCGCCCATCAAATAATTGAAGCAAATGCTCGACCACTCTTTGGGTATGATTAACATCGAACCATTGACGTCATGTTGTAATCATTAGATCACTTTAACTGACAAACTAACAAAAGTACTCAAATTAGCAATGTACTAGAAGGAATTGAAAAGTCCTATGCCAACCAATTATCGACAAGTAAAAGCCAATTATTGGACAACATGTGCAATCGGCTTTACTTCATCTAGAACTAGCCAAAGATTGAAAAATATGATTTGAATGCCAATAGTTGGACTTTAGAATTAAGTCATCATGAAATTCCTGTCTCAAGCTTGACAGGATGACAAATGACAACTAGAAAATGGCCATTTATGGCTTTTCCGTATGAATTTGAATTCAAGGAGTGAGGAAATACTTGTAGAACAGTGTCATTAATGGCTATTCCTCCAGCAGATATGTTTTGCACAAACTTGCTTTTAATCTGTTCATCATCACTGAAGAGATATGCTGCAAGAGGTTTTGGCTTTCTGTTTATCATATCCAAGCTATCTTCCAACTTTTCCACCTAAAACAAGCTAGGGAAAAAAGTTAACCCAAAAAAATGTTGCATTTTGCTCAGACACACATGCATTGGCTGTGAAAAATGATTTACAACTTGCTAGAGAAATCATGACCTCAAATTGGGATGTGCAAATTGGGAAAAACAAAATGTTGTGAAAATACTTTGGTGAAGGAAGTGTACCTTTAGTCTTACAAAAGAAGAGCACTGACCTTCTTCAACCTTTACTTGCAGGTTGTATGCCCAAAAATGAATTTCATATGCTTGGTTAAGGTAAGAGCGGTGAAGGGAGGGGGGATTGACCAGAGTTCAAATGTTTGAGCAAACCTTTCTTTTAGATTTCATTATGAATATAGGATGGGGAAGTAACAAGTAGAGAAAATAAATAATTTGTGCAGGGAAGAATCAGAATGTCACAATGCAGTAGCAAAAGGAAAGCGTGGCTAGGCTTTGCCGACCAGCATATATAAATAAACAATAATCCGGTATGTCTTTTTTCTTTTGGCTGATAATACTTGCATTTCAAGAGTTCAAGCCGTAAGGCAAAAAATGTTTGTCTTAATATAATTCAAATGTTACATTAACAAAAGAAAAAGAAACTCACAGTCATTATGGGAAGTAATGGTCCAAATATTTCTTCTTGCATTATCAATGAGTCCTCAGGAACATCTAACAATATTGTTGGAGCTATTTGTCTGCATTATAAAGACAAAAATTATATGGTGACCATACAATAGAATGGTAAAGATAGTTACCAGTAGCGATTATCAAACTCACAATTGGCTCTCATCCCTCTGGCCTCCAAAAACAATTTTGTCAGAGACCTTATCCTCATCCAAGAGATTTACTAGACGCATGAATTGGAATGAGTTTACAATGCGGGATAGGTCCTTTGATTCCATTGGATCTTTTCCAAAGAATTCCTCCAGTACACTTCTTAGAGAATCTATCTGTCAATCAAACATGTTTCAAGAGAATGACCTTAAGTTGACAATTTTATTTGCTTGACAAAATCTTACCAACTTTTGGGCAAATTCTTTTGTTGTTATGATATAATCAACACCAATGCAAGCTTGTCCATTGTTGCATGCCCACTTGCCTGCTATAATCCTCTTTGCAGTAACCTTAAAATTGTTACAATCAGATCAACTGAATAAAATGAAGATGGACAGGTAACTTTAGGTAAACAAGAACTATTCTCACTTGTAAATTAACATTAGAATCAACAACAGCTGGGCACTTTCCTCCGAGTTCAAGAGTTACCGGTGTAAGGTGCTTCGCTGCTGCAGCCATCACAATGCGCCCAACTCTTGCTCCACCTGCAATGTAAAGGTATCTGTATTTTAAGATTTTATTGTCAGGAATTAAATTAAGTACAAAAAACCAAGAACTTAGTAGTTGAATTTAAGTTTGACAGTTAATGCAAAATAAAGGCAGTCCATAGGAATTTTCAGCATCCTGACAATACCCACAGTGCTCATTGATTTATTTTTATTCCTTGTTGTCTTGGGTGAAAAGATAACAATATTCAGCAACTTTAAGGAGACTTCATAGATTGATCAATTTAGTAAACAAATAGTAACCAGATAATTAGGAGAACAGTTCAGTCATAACCTCATCTTCCACTGAAAGAAACTGCCACATTTGGACACAAAAGAGTGCTCCTTGAAGCAGTTCAACCATATTGATAGCATAACAATGTCTGTCATTAATCTAGTTATGATAATAGATGAAGGCATTTAGAAGTGATTCAGGGAATTTGATATTTAACTTATAGATAAAAGTTGGAAATTTACCCAGTCATTAACAATGTAGTCTCAACAAAGTTGGAATGAATTCAAAGCACACTAAACATTTTACCATGTCTACATAAGACTACAAAAATTTCATAAGGCACCAAAGTTGGAGAAATCAAGACATCTGAAGAATATATGTTAAACCTGTAAAAAAGATCTTATCCCACTTTTGTTCTAGTAATGCAGAGGTCTCACGAACAGCACCCTCAACAACTCTTATGGCAGATTCGTCCACATATTCCCCTAGTAACTTTGTAAGCAGTGATGATGTGGCTGGAGCAATTTCTGATGGTTTAAGGACCACAGCATTACCAGCTGCAATAGCTCCAATCACCGGATCAAGAGACAACACTAGCAGATGGACAACAAACATTTAAGTTTGCACAACATAAGATAATAATGATAATGAAACAAAAGAAGCTATCTATCATATTATATTTATACAAAAATATATCAAAACAATGGCTATGCTTTAGAACAATTCCACAAGCAAAAGAAAATTCCTAGTGGCACCTTTAGATTATAAACATTCCTAAATAAAGCAGTAGAATCTAAGTTTAAACATCATGAAAACAAATGATTGGGAACAAGTACAAGGTGTATCATGTTGTAGTGTGTTTATAGATAGTTATAAAAAATATACATATGAAAAACCTAAACAGCTCATATGAAGCCCTGTTATATCAAATTGCAGCATCAGCGAAAATAAAAAAACAAAAAGAAAGTTTTTAAAGCAATGATACAACTTTATGGAGCAATCATAGCATGCATACATAGATATGTACATCAGTTATGAAGCATGTTCGTTTACTAGCTCAGTTCATTTTTAGAAAGTGATGGGATAAAATAATAAAATAAGAATGAATGACATCTAAAGATTACTATAGATAAAGGAAAGGAAAAATTACTATTTTTCAAAGTCCATTAAGAATAACACACAAAATGGTTCTGCAACCAAGACAAGATGATTTGTAAGAAAAATGATAATAATGGTTCAAAGATAACAACAGGCAAGCAAGCAAATTGATGTGAGTATATTTCATTAAGTTATATTGAGTAAAAGAGGCAGTTTTAGTAGAAGAAATGTAAAACTTAAATGTAAATTACCAAAAAGAACAGAGTGGTTATTTAGGGGAAAATACTAAGCATAACACAACACTAACAATAGCACATGAAAACTTTAGACAGTTCATTTTAACTAGCTTCATTATGTTAAAACAGCAAAAAAACAACATACAAAAAGGGAAGTTCCAGGTAGATATGACCAAGACAACTCCAAGAGGTTCTGACACAATTTCTGCCGACGATGGATAAGTTGCCATTGAAGTTTCGACCTGAAAAAGTGCTAAAAGTTTTAAGCTGAAAGCAAATAGTAAAATTTAGTCCTAAGATTAGTAACCGTAACAGTAATTACCTTTTTTGGCATCATCCAATGTTTAAGTTCTTTAAGAGCCAACTTACATGAGGATTTTGTCATTAAAATCTGCATCACACATACTGTGAAGTCCATATGGTGCACGAGTCAATTGTTCAAAAAAAAGTATGACATCTAATTTTTGAACCTTTAGGTTGATTTCCTTGAAAAAAAAAAAAAAAACTACTGTTTGTTGCTGGTCTTACGTTATGGGTTACTATTGCTTCTAATTGCTTTAGTTGCAAAAACTTTTGAACTCAAATTCCGCATTAAACATATTGATGTTTTCTCTACCACAAGCATAACCTTAACTGATTGACCTTCCATAGCACCATCACAGTGATGCTGGTGCAAGAAGAATTTGCTAAATTATTGAAGTACTCAAATGAAAGTCAATTAGATAAGAAAAAAAATTGTATAATACAGAAAAAATGCTAATTTTTTTATCATAGACATGCTCTTGCAGCTAGATATTAAGGGCTTAATTAGAACTCATAAATCCTAAAGAAATATACAAAATTTGAAGGGTTTATTACATAAACAAAGGAGAAAAGAAAGGCTTAACAGTTGATGTCACTATTGATATAATTCACTATGTGCATAAGATGGTGCATAATATATCATCTCATAATGGAAGAACAGAATCATCATAAACCCCTCGTTTCAGCTAGGATAAATTAACAGGACTATCAATTTCATTCTAGCGCTTGTCATTAGGTAAATTTATTGCCAATGAAGCTGTTATGTACTCTTTAAGGGAGATAGTAAACCGTATATCACTTCCTTAGGGCAAAAGGAAGTTATGTAATCCCCTTAATGGCTTCGTTTATTAGCTGAGATGATAGGACCCAACAAATAAAAAGTTTTAATCACTTTGTCCTTTTAGATGTAAGGCTAATAGAGGTTAATGGTTCACAATTGGTAGCATCTTCTATGCCCAACTTTTCTGAATACTCCAAAATTAATAAATCTCACTTGAAAGCTGAATCCATACGAAAAATTCCTTTGACAATGAATTGACAGCTAACAGCAATATATTAAAAATATAAGAGTAGTAACTTGCAAGTTTTAAGGTAAATGTAAAAGGGAAAAGGATAGAGAACCATAAACATAAGCACGGTATTCGATGATGAAATAAAGGATACAAACCTCTGACAGAAAAGCTTCGAGTTCAGGTTTCGAGAGGTCCTTATGCAGTGCTTCTATAATTTCTTTCTCCTTTTCATCAATCATCTTTGATATACTTTCCAATTGTGACATTCTCCATTCATAGCTCTTTGTCTTGCCTGAGCTAAAGGTCTTTCTCATCTCGTTAACTAGTACAGCAGCTTTGTCTACATCAAATGTTGGCTTCACTTCCTCCATCGTTATTGATAGCGTTGCACAACAACTTTTTTAGATGTATTAGAAAAAAATATCCAGGAAATGCAAGGAGTAATGGAGATGAAGATATGAAAATCAATAATATACAAACACAAACATGAGTGTAATTAGAGAGAGAGAGAGAGTTACTAGTATGAAGAAGGGATAGAACCGGAGAAGTGAACTCGGTTGATCTTATATGTATGACGGTACGTGAGGGTGCCACCCAGGCCAACGCCAACAATGCTGCTAAATTTGAAACATCTGAAAATGAGTGTGAATCAAAGCAAATAATATAAAGGGTGATCGTATATCACTATTTACTAAGACTAAACCAAACAAATTCTATTTATTAGGACACTCCATTTTGAGTAAAGATGTCTGAACAATAGACTAAAGTCATCATTTCACAATTTTTATTGAAACTAGGATTTATCTGAAAGGACCAAGTACCAACACAGAAATGACCTAGTCTACAACTTTGCATAGTTTCTGCCTTAAATTAATTGCTCCAAGTGACACTCCCAATAACAAGTTGTGCCAATCAGCTGTTATTTATCTCTGCAAAATTTAATGTCATATCACTGCAGCAGCAGGCGGAGGAATGATATCTAAGAAAATCATTCACCCATAATAACCATGTGTACTTCAAAAATTTTGACATTATAAACAGATGAATCTTTTGTTTGAGATTGACTAAGAATAACTGTTTCTAAAAGGAAAAGAGAAGAAAATGGATCACAAATAGTGCTAAGAAAATGCTATGGCTTGGCAAATATTTGGATGATGGAGTTTATTCTATTTTGTAATAAGTGAAGGAACGTAGTCCCCTTTTATTCATAAATAAAGAGTCTTGTTTTGCATAGATTATATTAATAAGCCCTTTCTTTGTATTAGTTTCTAAACATAGCATACATATAAAAGTTATTAAGAAGGCAATAAGAAGACCCTAAGTTCCAATCCTCCTCTGTAAATATACCTATCAAAAGAAAAAAGAAGATTTGGAGGCATGCATACAATGTTCTAGTCTCCCATTTTCTTATAACAAACTCACAGCTCCCAAAAATTGGACCATACTTTATCTCACCAAAAAGGAAGGATTTTTCAGGGTAATTTTCAATTTTTAGATATAAACTGGAAAATTTTTATTCTCCAATTACGGAATTGGCATTCATTTTGAAGTTTGAAGGAGGCTAAAAACATGCTTTCTCCATTGGTTATCTACAAGAAAAAAAAAACATAAATTAAATTTAGAGACAAAAATAAAATTAGTTTTCTATGCTTGGGAACCATGACGGTAGGAAGGAGTGGAACTGTGGAAAGGAGGGTGAGGAAAAGAGGGAGAAGAAGATGGGTTCTCCTTGTTTGGATAGCCTAAATAGATAAGGGCAAGAAAAGGAAGGGACATGTTAGAAACTTTGTTTGTTTAAGGAGTAGAAAAGGAAGGAAATAATAATTTATCATACCATTTTAATATTCTATCCTTTATAAGTAAAAATGAAATGTTTAAACTTCATAAGTACAAATGAAATGGTGTACCAAAAAAAAGGAATGTTTAAAATAAAAGTAATTTGGTCATTGCAAAATTGACCTACTTGATGCCTCCAATAGATACATATTCATGTGTGTGTGTGTGTATTCACTTGCTAACTTGACTAACCGCATGGATGGCAGCTTAGCTATGGTGATAATTAGTACAGAAGTTACAAACTAAAATCCTCTGTCAAGAGGAAAATACCTTTCATCTTGTCACTAACAAAACATTTTTGAGTTGGCATTAGTTGCAATATTACCTGCATTCCCCTTAGCTCCCTCCCTGAAGTTCCCCCTCAAAAGAGAGAGAAAGAGAGACTAGATTTTTTCTCTTGACGAAGATTTTAAGGTCTTTTAATTAAGCTTCAAACTAGGAATTTGAATTTTCATTACAGGTAGATACATATTGAAGCCTAATCTTAAAACAATCTATGAACTGGTTATCCTGCACTATCAAATCTTCTTCTTCTTTTTTTTTTTTTCAAGTTTTGGGTAAGGGGGAGGCTTCTACTGTAGTCCATTCTAGGACAGGGCAGACCATAAACCTAAGATAGGACTTAGGTTGGATTTGCAGATTGCCCACCAATGAGACAGACTGTCAAATCTTGAAAGAGTCATTTGCCACCTTTATCCATTATCAGACCCTAATACCTGACCTCAACAAGACTGTTGCCTTCTCCCCTGGCAAGGTTTGGGTTCAGTAAGAGCATCCAATAGAAAACTGAATTTTGGGTCTTCCACTGAAACTAAATTAATTTTCTAGAAGCTGGGAATCTTCAGGCATTCTATAATAGTTCTTTCTGGGGAAAACTGTTCAAAACTAAAAAGAGTCTCTCCTTCCCGATTTAATTCACCTACAAAATACCAAATATCACCAAAAAATATGCATAGAAATTAACAGTGAAACTTGTATTATATTTTCCAGGCAAACATTTCATCATTCTTAGTATAAATATTCAAGCAAGCATTAAGAAATCCAAAAGATTAAACCAACAACTTACCAGCAAAGAGAGGATAGTTAAAGAAAACTTGACTATTCAGCGTTGAAAAGTAACTCAAAGTTTGGGTTTAAGAAGAAAAAATGGGAGGATAAATCAAGAACCTGGTACAGTCTTTGAAGAGGGCAGCAGCAGCAGCAGCAGAGACGATTGTCATGGCAGCTAAAGATTCTGCAACTTATCAGCAGAGAATTTGGTCACTCAAAGTATCCTGAAACTGATTGAGAAGGTTTGTTTTTTGTTCAGCTTCTTTTTGTGTGAAGATCGAGTAGTGCATGCAAAAACACGTGGCTTTGTTACCACTTTTATCATATATAATTTGCCAACTCAAAAGAGGGAGTTCGTGGGGACCTTTGAGAGAGTTTCTCGGCCATTAGAATTTTGTAAAAGCTGGAGATAACGGTCTGACCAAACTCAAGCATGGGGAATGAATCCAAACCCAAATCTTATCTCAACATCCCGTGGGTTGGCCTGTGTTTGGCCTTGTTTACAATTTACTTGATGATGATTGTTACAGACAACAAATTTTGACCCATGCGAATCATTGCTTTCGACCATCTTGTTGGCCATTGATGTTAACTTTTTCTCTTTTCCATAAGAAATTAGGGGAATAATAAAAATGTTAATGGAAAATTATTTTGAAATTTCGTATAACACACGTTAACTACCGTTAAAATATCAAACTGTTTTCATAATTCAAATTCAATATTTATCAAATTAAATATTAAAAATTCAGTATTTAATTTTCAATTTATCAAATAAAATTTTAACTTAATTAATTTATACAATTATATTAAAATGATATCATTGAATAAGTCTGACATTCAAATTATAATATCTATAATCTTTTTAATATCCTCATATTTCAGTACATTTCATATAAAAAAATTAAATATAATTTTTTAAATGAATTTATATTTAATATGTAATAAGTGAATAACTTTTACACACTTCCTTTGAATCACATCTTTCCACTAAAATAGTAAAATTAGCAAGTTACTCCTCTAAACATGTATATCAAATTAGCATTTTAATTTTTGTTATATGACTATAAGATAAAAGATGGATCAAAGAAATTTCTACAAAATATCTTGGTTTATGAGGTTCATTTCTTCTAGTGAATGGTAGGAATGATAAGCTCAAATCTATGAATCGTGTGCATGATGAATTTTTTAATGATATTTTAAATTTATTGGAGGATGGGAAAAAGAAAATAGTAAAGGATTCTTCAAGGAGAAAATAATATGTGCAATCTATTAAATAAATTTAAAACAAATGTTTTTGAGCTTGTGAATGAATCGAACAGAATATAAGAAAAAATATATTGAATGAAATGGGACCCTTTTTTTTTTTCCCTTTTATGGTGTGCATGAAAGGAATATATTTTAATTTGTTTTCTCTTTTTATTTTATTCTTACATGCTAAGGCTTCAGTTGGACTTCACTACATCGGAATTGAAGAAAGTTTTGGCCCCAACTGCATGCATTTAAATTGCAACTCAACGCTAATTGGGTCAAAACTCAAAGCCCTCACTGTCCCTCTACTGACTAACAGGAGGACGAAGTGTTCAGTGGATAATTCAATTTGTGAACAGTTGATTGTTTTAATATTAAATTAAAAAAATAATTATAGAACCATTGGATGCTAGGATAGTTGACTTTTTTACTGAAGATAGTTTACTACCTTAGTATAAAATTGAAAAAAGAACAGCATTTTTAATTATGTAGTTTAATGTCATATCTAATTTTATATTCATCATTATATTTATTTATAAACATATATCTTGATTTTAATTTCACTTATATAATAATTAATTTTATCGTAACTGTTATTTCTAGTTTTATCGAAACCAATTTTATAGTTCATTCATATGAATTCTATTTAAGATCTTTTGGAATTAAAAAAGGGTAGGGGGAAAGAAACTGTCCCGAAGGGAATAAATAAAAGGAAATAATCAATAGGAGAGAATAAGATCCCTATAGCTAAGTTTTTGTTTGTCATTTTAATTTGTTCATTCAAGTTTTTATTCTATATTGATTAGGGAATGAATTTTTTCGCTGCATGAGAAGTTGATTAGTGTATTTTTAATTAAATTTAAGATTAATGTATTTTTAAATTATTTTTAATTGATTTTTATTTGTTTTCATACACAATTTAAATCATTAAAATTTTCATCATAAATTAATTTTAATCACAACTAACATAAAAAAATTAAAAAGGAAAAAAGCAAAACTCTTGCCATTATCGTGGCATTCTACAATTTGTCATGTTATAGATATGATATTATATATCCCAAAAACATAACACTTCAAAATAATAATATACTAGATCGGATGTTTGTGCTACGCCGCAAACTTGATTAAAATTAACAAAGTATTAAAAGCATAATTTATAGTTTAATTATGAAAAAAAATTTGTTTAGGTTCTAAACATACAATGGAAGTTAAATTAGAGTCTATAGTCTACAGCATAATAATGAACAAGATTATTTACATACAGTGTAATAATAAAAAAGATTATTAATACTCAGGATAGATAATAACTTTAAAAGTATTGGTTCTAATCATGCCAAAGAAGCAATAATCACCAACTTTCAAGTGCTTATTAGGGATGAATTTGCTCCATCCTTCTATAAATGATTTGTTTTGGGTATTGTAATGGATACTCCATGACTTGCAGTAAAAGTAATAGCAAGAAGTAAACAACAATGAAAACTAAGATAAATAACATCATGAAACATTTTGATAAACTTTTTTCATGCTAATAGTCTCATTCCATAAATAAAATGAAAAAACTTATCAATACGATTGGAAAATTGCAAAAACATTTCTAATAAAGACAATTAAACGATTAGCAAGTTAAAATAGTAATAGGAAAACAACAAAAAGTGAATTTGAATTTAGGCTTTATGGGTTTTTTGTTAAAATATAAAAACTATTTATTGCAGGAACTTGCTATTTGTATTGTAACAATTATTCATTTAAATTATATTTTGTAAATAATTAAAATTATTTAAAATTATTTAATATTACTATTGTTTATTAGATATAGTTAATTTAAGCAGTCAATTTTTTCTCTTCATTTTGATTGTTTACTAACCAGATTGAAAGCAATATATAATTTATATAATTTGATTGAATTCTATACAAAGAAAAGCTAGAACAACCTTAATAAAAGTAAATTTGCTTAGGTTAAATGGGATCTAAAAAGTAAAGTTGAAAAAGCCATAGTTATAGAGGAATGAAACCTTGGTAAGAAGAGATAGAACAAATTTTAAAAAAGTTAAATTACACAAGTTTTACAAACATAAAACAAAGTTTTACAAGTTAAAACTTAAACCGTACTGTAAAAATTTTGAAACAATATGAAAGATCTGAACAGATCTAAGTAAAATTGTATTTGGGTTTTTTATTTTTTTAGATACGAAAATAAGATAACACCCTAAGATTTGTTGATTAAAGTTTTAGTTATATGAAATATGAAAGAGGGAAAACAAAAAAACCATACATAAATTACTGCTATATTTATCATGCAGAAATTGTGCATATAGTTTGAAGGAATTAGATGAAAAAAAAAAAGAAATCAAGTTAAGTTTGAAAGATTTTCACCATAAGGTCTTGAATGGTATCTTGATGTAGTAAAATATGGTGAATCGTGGAGCTTCATCTAGAATTAATCTATTCTGACTCACAAAATAGTTGTTGTTAGCCATTTTTTCTTTTGTAGATAATGGGTGTTTGGTACAAATTAAGTTTGGCATTTTGATTTTGAAAGAGTTTTAGTAGGGTGTGGGGGAGGTTTAAGAAAGGAATTTGCAATGATTGATCTTTTTGGATTAAAGATGACGTCATTTGTGTTTGCTGAAAAGTTAAATGATAAAATTTTTAACAAAAGCTTGGGTTTGTAAGTATAGATTTGGTTATTATAATTTGGTTTTGGGTTTAGAGGTATAAGTTTGGGTTTATATGCATATTGGTGTTTGCAATTGTAGTTTTGGATTTATTAGTATTGTTTTCATTTTGTAAGTATAGTTTTAAGTTTGAAAGATTGATTGGATACGAGCTTTAAGAAGTTTGTAAAATTCTTTGTTAAGGTTTTTTATATAGAATTTAAATGATGATTAAAATGAGTATTCTTGGTATTTTGAAATTTTATTGTTTTAAACTTTTTTTTAATATATATTTGGAATTAGGGATACATGGAATGATATACGTAGTCAGGTTTATGGAAAATTTTGTTGTTTTGGATTTTGTTTAATTTTATGGGTTTAAAGTTAAGTGAAAGATATTAGTTAGGAGTGTGTAGAATTAAAAATATTAGGAGTTTTATTATATATAAGATCAAAATAAAATTTATACATTTAGAATTTCTAATGTAAAAAATGTGTTGAAAAGATAAAGAGAGAGGAAGTGAAATGTGTTATTAAATTTGAACAAAAAATACCAAAAAGTATATTCTAAAATGAATTTTGTTTTAGGTGAAAGATATAGCTATATTAAAGATAAAATAAGGATTGATATATTGGAAAAAAGCCATCAAGGCAAAAATGTTAGTTTGTGTGCAATGACATTGTTCCTTGAAAAGTTTTAAAAAGTGAATTGAAGTTGAAAACAATAGTTAATATGAGTGTTTTACAAAAATTTTAGTTTTGTGCCTAACAATGTTATAATCTGAAGAGTTTAGTAGAGTGAATTCAAGGCATGAAACAGTAGTTCACATGGATATTTTGCTAAAATTTTATATTGGTGTCAACTATGATGGACATTAAAGGTGAAAACAATAACAACAGGTAGCATTTCAAGTTTCAATCAGTAGATACTCTAAAGATAAAGTATTGGATAAATAAACTTTGTACAATACGATCAATTTGCTATATTTTCAATGTTAAAATATCATTGTTTTTTTCGATTTTGGGGGAAGTGAATGAGTATTGGTTTGGTTGAAAGTTAAAAAATTACAAAAACAATTAATAACAAAGTTAAAGGTATAAAGGCAATCTTTATATACAGAAATGGTAACTACAATGTCTTTTAACAATATATAGACAACAATAGCTATCTGATAAAAATAAAACAAACGATGTTCTGCATAAAAGGATAAGCATTACAGTGCATTTTAGCAAAGTACATATATTAATAATAGTTTGACAAAATGGCATTGATAGCATTGACATAGTTGTCTATGTTAGGCTAAAAGACCTCAATCAATCACACAAAAGATAATAATTTAACATAGTTCGGCTCAATCGACCCACATCCATGAATGAAAAAAAAGATCTATTAGTTTTAGAGAATTACAAACTTACATCAAATCATATCAACCACTCAACAATCAATACCCATAGAAATCTCTTTTAATCTTATAGAGTATTTTTAACCCAAACATATACCAATATGCACCCATGCATCGAACTTATATGAATTCTCTCAGTCTCTCTTAATCTATTTATAAACATTCAAACATATACACCCATAAGATTTAAATCTTCAGTAGTCTTATGGGGTGTCTATCCCATAAAACCTTATAACTCTCTTGCATCTTTTTTTTTAAATCTAACCCTATAAAGACTTTACCTATTAATAAGCATACACCTATTAATAAGCATACTCATTT